CCAACTCCTGGGCTCAAGCGAGTCTCCTGCCTCCGCCTCCCAAGTAGCTGGGACCTCAGGTGCCCGCCACAACGCCTGGCTATTTTTTTGGTTGCAGACGTCATTGTTGTTTGGCGGATCCAGGCTGGGGATTCGAACCCGCCACCTTAGGTGTACGTGGCTGGCGCCTTAGCCAGTTGAGCTATAGGTGCCGAGCCTTTCAAATTCTTATAATGTATCAAGGTATTGAAAATGAATTAGATGTTGATGTATAACTTTAAAAATCTGAAGTACAGGATGTTTACCAAGTTAATTAATTAGTTTTTTTTTCCTTTTATTTTTTGAGACAGAGTCTCAGTATGTTGCCCTCGGTAGAGTGCTGTGGCATCACAGCTCACAGCAACCTCAAACTCTTGGGTTTAAGCAAGTCTCTTGCCTTAGCCTCCCAAGTAGCTGGGACTTCAAGCGCCCACCACAACATCCGGCTATTTTTTGATGAAGTTGTCATTGTTGTCTAGCTGGCGTAGGATAGGTTTGAACCAACCAGTCTCAGTGTATGTGGTTGGCGCCGTAACCACTGTGCTATGGGCACTGAGCCAAGTAATGACAGTTAAATAGTCTAATTTCTTAAGTTTTATGCCATTCATTATACACACTAGTAGCTTTATAAGTTGAGTCAAAACCAAAGAACTTTTGATTTATTAAGTTTGCTTTAGGTCACACAACTAGGAATATAAGTTAAAAAACTTATTTCTGAGCCCAGATGCAATGATGCATGTCTCTTGTCCCAGTTACTCAGGTCCAAAGGCAGGAGGATTGCTTGAGCCAAGAAGTTCAAGTCTAACCTAGGCAACATAGTGAGACTCTGTCTCAAAAAAACAAAAAACACAAACAAATGTTATTTCCAGTGATCTGAGTTCCAAGTAAATTTTTTTTTTCTTTTAGAGACAGAGTCTCACTTTGTTACCTTTGGTAGAATGCTATGGTGTCATAGCTCACAGCAATTTCAAACTCTTGGGCTTACGTCATTCTTTTGCCTCAGTCTCCCAAATAGCTGGGACTACAGGCACCTGCCACAGCACTCAGCTATTTTTTTGTTGCAGTTTGGCTGGGGCCAGGCTTGAACCTGCCACCCTGGGTATATGGGGCCGGTGTCCTACTCACTGAGCCACAGGTGCTGCCCCCAAGTGAATTTGTTATTTTGAAGTGTAGGTGAAATATTCTACTTTTCAACAGAAACAACTTTTTCACAAAACAGGCTTGTGAGCTCCAGGATGTGCTGATATCATTGGGCAGCATGCCTGGCTTTGATTTGTTTCTAAATTTGTAGAGATTTGGAATGTCCTGGAAATAGTATCAGTCTCTCTTACTAATACTGGTTTTGATGATCTTAGAATGGAGCTCATAAAAGTTAGCTATAAAGTTGAAAATATGTTTATTATATGTAAAATGCCATCATAATTAATGATTTATTTTATCCATAATCGTTTATAGATTGTCATTTACATTCTGTAAAGACAGTGTGTCAATTGTTCTCACATAGATATTGATTTTTAATATAGGTAGAAGACTTTTTGAATCCTTCCACAAAGCTGTCTGGATTTCATATTTGCATTGACAAAGGGACTTTTGATGCCATAAGCCTTAATCCTGACAATGCAGTTGAGAAGAGGAAGCAATATGTGAGATCTCTCTCCAGGGTTTTGAGAGTAAAAGGCTTTTTTCTAATAACCTCATGCAATTGGACCAAGGAAGAGTTGCTTAATGAATTCAGCGAAGGTAAATGTATGGTGTTTCAACCTGTGCTTGCCTCAGGTTCATGTACTTAAATACGTCTTTACCCCCTTGATGTTATCATGTTTTACTTTTCTGTTTGTGGGAATGGCCTGCTTTTCTTCTCTGTTCATGACCTTGGTAATAACTTTTAACTGTATATACAAAGCACAGAGAAATAACATTGGTTGACACCCAGAGACCTTTTGAAATTTTTTCCAAGAAATCGTTATAGTTAAGCACTAAAATTTATGAGCCAGTAAAATTTAAGTTCTTTATGTAAGCTATACAATATTTTATGTAAGCTATACACTCTATTATTTAGAGTCTCAAACAAAAAAGTACATGCATTGTGCTTCTTACTTCAGTGCATTGATTTACTGGCTAATCTATAATAATGCAAATGGAAGTAGTACTTTCAAAAATCTTACATGATAGTTTAAATTTTACAGATAGTTTATGCTTTAGTGGCTAGTTAGGGATGTAGGATTTGTCTTCTGGTTTTCAAAGTATATAGAACAATTATTTTTAACATTCCGTAGAATCAAAATGTAAGGAATTGATAGAAATACTACCTACTAAATCTTGAGAAAATCCTCTGCCCTTTTCAAGATTTTGGTGCCAAGGGAGGATCTTTTTTTTGCCCTGTTAACAATGTATAATTAGTACTGTGTTTACTAAATGGGGATCTTGGGTGAATTGAGAATCTGTAATCTATACACAAAATATTTTGAGTTCTCTGGTAGACTATTCCTTGCACGCATTAAGGAATATTTGCTCTGCTAGTTTATTCATGCCATGCACAGGCATTTCTGGGAAAGTGTCTTGAGAATCTATAGGTGTTTACTTGTTTTTTCTTTACTTTTCCTTATAATTCCTTTCAGATTAGCATTAATTTCTTTTTTTTTAAGCAATGGGAAAAATTTTCAGAATGGTGCCTTAAGTAAATGAACACTTGCTTAAATTTCAAATCTCAGTTGTTATTAGGGAAATTAATTACTTCAAGAGAGGGCTGTTTGTTATTTATAATCATACTGCATATACCTTATTTTAGAGTTTATTTTCTTTTTGGTATTAAGGGAATAGGCTAGGAGAACACTTAACACATGTACTTTGTGTGCATTCAATGGCTTAGACAGATTATATAAGGTAAAACCTGAAGTATCTGAGGCTTGAAATTTGAGCCTGTGGCTTCATTACCATTGCCTCTGGAAAACAAAAATTATATGTGATTTATTATCTTTTATTTCATGCCATTAATTTTATTATCTTCCATGTTAAATTTGTTTCCTTTAGAACTATTGAGGCCCTATACCAATAGCCCTTTCCTCTTCCTGTAGCCTGACAGTTTTAATAAATGCTTAATGTTTCACTGTGTAGGGCAAGTTCCTTTCCTGGTTTTTAAATACAGGTGTTCTTCTTTACCCCTGGAAGCAGCAGACAAAAACATAGTTGTCTGTTGTTGATAATGAGGAACAGACTTTAGCCTGGTATAGAGTGCTTAAAAATGTGTCTGTGTCTGAAAACTATTGAGCAAACTCTTTCTAGTTTTAGAACTAAATACAGAATTTAAATAAGCGAAACGTTATAACAGGAAATGTTAAATAAATATATACAATTGAAAACATTTTTAGGCATGAGTCTTTTAGAAAATGATATTTGGAGTTAGATACGGGACAGTCACAGAATACACTGCCATGCATCACTGCTGAAGGTCTTGTTTAGTGACTTTCACTGGCTGTCACGTTCTTTTTGTCTTGAATAAAGCTCATTTCGCCAATGTTTTAAGGTTCTTTCCGTCTCCCCTTATTTGAAACACAAATGCTCATAAAACAGTTGAAATGGATCTTGCATTTATCCTTGGCAGCCCTATTTATATAAACGTTTTGTGTTACCATTTGTTTTGGTGAGGGTTAACTTGAATCATTTGTCCCAGATATTAGGATGTTCTAAGTTGATGTCCAGGGGACTTGACTTTATTATAATTACTGAATTAAAACAACAACCACTGGCTTTGCGCCTGTAGCTCAGTGGCTAGGGAGCTGGTCACATACGACAGGGCTGGTGGGTTCGAACCCAGCCTGGGCCTGCTAAATGACAATGACAACTGTAACAACAACAACAAAAATAGCTGGGGGCAGGCGCCTGTAGTCCCAGCTATTTGGGAGGCTGAGGCAAGAGAATCACCTAAGTCCAAGAGTTTGAGGTTGCTGTGAGCTGTGACACCATGGCACTCTGGTGAGGGCAACATAGTGAGACTCTGTCTCAAAAATAACAAAAACATAAACGAATAAAAACAACCTATCTTAGTATAAAGATAATTTAAATTCATTATGAAAAACAATTAAAAATTTCAATAACCCCAACACAAAGCCATACAAATTAAGGTAATTAAAATAATTTGTTAGCCATGAGTGGAGTATAACACTGTTAATATTTTGGTATATTATATTTTGAAATATAAGTTCAATTCTGTAGGGTTAGTTCAGGGTGCTAAAAGAATTGGTCCTAGAAAATTAACCACACAGTTCCATTTCCCCTTAAAAATTTTTATTATAAAATATTTAAGCCAGGCTCAGCGCCTCTGGCTCAAGTGGCTAAGGAGACAGCCACATATACCTACGGTGGCAGGTTCAAATCCATCCCAGGCCCACCAAACAACAATGATGGCTGCAACCAAAA